GGCCCCGGTTTAACTACGTGACCGAGCTGATGAAGGAGTACTTAACGACAGCGTTCTGTAAGTAAATGAGCGCGCTCTACATCATATAATTAAGCTAATATTTTTGCAGCTACACAGGATAAAGCGGAGGCTGCGCTTCCTGAGGCCCTGGCGGGCGCGCTGTACACGATGCTGCCCGAAAACGAAAAGGAGCAGGGTGACGACGACGACGAAACCTCGGACTCTGACGAGTCGGATTCGGACTCAAATCGCGACTCGGATGACACAGACGCGCCCCCGAGCAAGAAGCGGAAAGGCGCCACCAAGTCAAAGGGGAAGGCACGCGCGGGCTCGCAGCAGGCCGCGCCGGCTGACTCTGACGGGGACGAGAGTGATGAGGGGGAGCCCAAGGACGCGGCAGCAGAGTGGAAGCTCGGCGACCCGGAATCTTCCTTCGTGGCGACGCAGGCAGAGCGGAACCTGTATGGGGGCGGGCCGCACGGCAGACAGCAGGCGCTGGCTGCGAGGCGGAACGCGTTGATACTGGCACCGCTGAAAGCCCAGTGGAAGGAAGTGATTGGGGCGGGGGCGACGAAGAAGACGCAGCCAGCCGCGCGTGTGAAGAAGCGCAAGGTAGCGGGAGACGCAGCAGCGCCGCCGTCAGCGGCAAGGAAATCACGCCGCATCAACGGCGATGGGGAAGGAGCCGCTACCCCGCCTGCCAACCCAGCGGCGTCGACGTCGTCGTCGGGCGCAGGAGCCGCTACCCCGCCTGCCAATCCGGCCGCAGGAGCAGCCATCCCGCCTGCCCATCCAGTGATACCGTCGACGTCGGGCGCAGGAGCCACTGCGCCGCCTGCGAATACAGCGATACCGTCGGGTGCAGGAGCCCCGACCCCGCCTCCCAATGCAGCGCTCCCATCGACGGCAGCGTCGGCGTCGGGCGCAGGAGCCGCTGCGCCGCCTGCGAATACAGCTATACCGTCGGGCGCAGGAGCCCCGACCCCGCCTCCCAATCCAGCGCTCCCATCGACGGCAGCGTCGGCGTCGGGCGCAGGAGCAGCTACCTCGTCTTCGACCTCTCCCGCAGCGTCCCCACCTCACAATCCAGCTGACGATCCACCGTCCACCGACGAGGAAGGGGAAGGGGAAGCTAAGCCGGTGGTGGAGCTGGATCTACCCGAGGACACGCCAGATTGGCTGAAGACTGCGTTACATTACCTGACGATGCGCGATCTTGGGTGCCACTATACGGCGCTGCTGACGGCCTTGGTGAGATTGGAGGAGTCTGCTGGATTCGAAAAGAAAACACATACGCCACTGCGCTCATCGACCGCGCGCCCGGGAGAGCTCGGCAAATACGTGAAGGGCGCGCGAGGGAAGAAAATGAAGGAGCTTCCCCGAGTCAAGAACGTGGCGGCATACGCGAAAAAGTGGAACGCGTGGTGGAACGACCTGCAGCCGAAGTGGAGGCAGCGCGGGGAGGACGGGCAGTTGATTACAGGGGGGAAATACGGAGATGAATGGGGAGGGCTCGACTGCGCGGGTCCAAACGGGACACTGAGCGTTGTAGCGGTGCTTTACTTCTGGGGTGCGGCATCGACCCACACGGAGGAGACGCGGGAAGTATGGACTGCGGCTGTGCAAGATGCGACCTGGATGCTTGAGGGGTTGGACACTTTGTTTGAGTAGTTACTGAATCGTGGACTTCGTTTCCTCGCACGAACTTCTTATTCTTTTTAACTCTTTTACCTATCTTTCCTATCTTTCAAAAATGCGCGTTACCTCTGTTATGTTTTGACTAGTGTAGTAGAATAGGAATAATATACACGATGTTCCTGGTGTGAAGGACTTTGGAAGAACTCGTGAAGAAGATGATCGGAAAGGACTTAGTGATTTGGGAGATCTCGAGACGGCATGGACGAAAAAAAAACAGAAATAGGATATCTGGATGGGATACAAGTACAGAGCATTCAAAATGGGGGTGTGGATATGTAGTGATAGGTTTTTTTTTTTGAGCCGCGAGGGCGGCGGTGGAAACCAAGGTGGAATGTGGTGCCGAGCAAATGCCGGCCAATATTGGGGAGGGCTGTAGGGCCGAAGAACAGGAGGGAGCGTCCGAGAATAGCGATAAGTAAATGTAAAGTATTGCCGAGGGCGATTGAAAACGGTGCGGGCGGGAAGTGCCGGAAGGGGGCGTGGGGCGGGAAATTAACGCCCGAGAGCGGGATTCGGGGCGAGGGGACAAGGGACCATCTTCCCTGCAATTGCTGTGGGGAAAAAAGGCAGGCCCGTAGTGGAGGGCGGCCGAGGGGGGCGGGAAGTGCCGATTATGTAATGGGCGGGCGGCGGGGGGAGCGGCAAGGAATAAGCGGGTCCTCTACGAGCTACGGGGAGGGTCGGAGGGATGCCGGGAGGGTGCCTACTGGGGCAGAGATCGCTAAGGCGAGATTGCCATCAGTAACTGAAAAAATGGGCAAAAACGGTACCAGTTTTTTTTAACGGCGGGCGGCTAAAAGGGCCAGGAAAAGCGGTTCCCGGGCCGCCCAAAATCGAAAAAATCGCCCACCGAAAAGGGGGCAAAAAGGCCTGGACACAGCCAGGGGGTGGCTAGCTCCAGGGCTATAGCCAAAGGGGGGGGGTGGCTGCACCCAAGCCATTTAGACTATATATTACAGCTACCGCTCTGCATTGCACCCTCGTCGGCGGCCTCATGCGCGGACAAGATTACGACGAGATGCAGCGGGCGACTCTTCTCGTGAGCGTCCAGCCTTCGTGAGCTTCACGGCATCCGCCCCTCGTATCTCCCCGCCCATCCCGTGGCCAACGCCGTCAAGAATGTCATTAGACGAGGTGCGCCGGACGTCTGCATTCAATCGGATTTCGATGTATCTTACCTAGGCGGCCCCCAGGCAATAACCGGGCTAAACGGGTGGAGAGCACGGCGTTGGCGGTGTCGACGCATAACGCCAGCATGCAGATCTGCCATGGGAAGTACAGCGAAGCCCTTGCGCGTCTCGACCGACTGCAGGCCGTCCTTGACGCCCCGCACCTCCAGCAACGCGGCGCTCAGGATCAGCTCCGCGTCCAAATCACGTCCGTCAAGCGCGAAGTCCACGCTGCTGAGGTGAAATACCACAAGCAGGTGCGGGTCGGCGAGGAGCTTCGCAGCGTTGGGTGCGCCGGGGTTTGCCTGCCGTCGAAGAAGTAATTTTTTTCAATGGGAATTGAGGAATACAGGCCGACGGCGCTCGACGGCGCATGGCGGTGGGCGGCGCGCTGGCGCTTGTCGCGCATGGCCTTGCGCACGCCGCTACACGTGTTCGGCATGTGCCGGACAGGTGATCCCCGTCGTCCGCTTCCCCGTCGTGTTGCTTCTCTCCACGTCCACGCCACGCCACGTGTCGTTTCTCTCCATTCCCTTTGCCGTTCTCCTCCATCTCGTCGACACTCTCTCCTGTTTTTCGTCTGCGATTCCCTTCGCCGCCCTCATATTGGCTCTATCGTCCTGGCCTAATCCCCCCTCTTGACTTCGCCGCTGCACTTCGCCGTCGCTCCACCTGCCTCGCGCACGCCCAGTGGCGGACACATGTCGCCAACTTCGATTCCCGCCCACTTCCGCCCAGCAACCAAGGTCCCCGCGCCGTTCTGATTCAGGTCCAGCACCTCTTCCATTCGCCTTCTCGTGTTCTTGCGCTTGGGCCAGGCCATCCGACCTCCGCCGTGGCTCAACCTGAATCGGTTAAATATCGTGCGTCTCTGCCTCGTCCCCACATTCGTCCCTCGTTCACCCATGGCGCAGTATCAGTATTACTCCGCCCCTCCTGCTACCCAGACTCCCGCCGCCGCGCCGCCCCAGACTCCCGCCGCGCCGCCTCAGACTCCCGCCGCGCCGCCCCAGACAGTCGCCGCCGCGCCGCCCCTGGCCCCGCCCGCCCAGACACCCGCCGCCACCAACCCCGTTCTCTCGTGGGCCCCTGCCAACGCCGTTCCTGCCACGCCCGCCCAGCGCTGCGCTCCCAGCCGTTGCACTATCTGCGACGCTCAGCATCTGTGCGTCTTGCACCAGGCCAACAGCTTGAACGGTCCACAGACCGCGCCTCTCCCTCACCGTCGCACCTGTGCACCAATTTACCTCCCCGCCGACCCCAGCATCGACGTCGTCACGCACTCCCTCTCCGCCGGCGAGTGGTTCTACGTCGCCATGCCCGCTCATCAAGAGGCCATCTACACCAACTCGTGCGTCTCTCCCCCCCTTTTTTTCCTGCAGCGCTGACCCATGTTTTCAGCATCACCGCGCGCGCCGTCTCGGAGGGCGTGCAGAACGGCAAGCACCAGGCCTGCAAGACTTGGGAGGAGGCCAAGGGGCTTTGGGCTCTGGGGTGCCTGCGTTGGCACGGGAACGAATGCCGCCACGAGCGTCTTGAGCGCGCCGACGCCCGTGGCGTCCATTGGGCGGTAGCCGGGACCTCAATCATCTGCGGCTCCAGGTCAGTCTTCTGTTCACTGCTACTCTGACGCTGTCTCAATTCTCTCCAGGGCCGCCGCCTTCCGCCTCGCTCAAGACAGCGGGTCCCTCGACATCCGCATCCGCGGTCATCGTGACGCCGCCGTTCTGCGCGACTGGTTGGACAACGGCAGCTCCGAGGAGTACTAAACGATGCGCGCATCGGGGAGGGTGGGCGGCACAATCTCTTGCTTAATATATGTTGTACCTGTGATATTGGCGTGTCTATTTTATCGGTCTTCTGTTTTTTTGAAACTGTCCTTTTGTTTTAAGTTTTTTTTTTATATTCGTTTGGTCAAAGATACACGAACCAAACCGGCTACTACCCACCGTCAGAAACGACCCTTTAACGCACCGGTAGTGCAATGGTAGGGCATCACCAAACTACGACCGTGAGGTGGCTGGTTCGACTCCTGCCACGGTCTTTGCCACATCGTTTGAAACTTTTGTTGAACTTGGAAACTTTTTATTCAGAAATTGACACGAACCGAATGTTACAGCCCGTAGTTCACAAGACTCTTTGGCGTAATGGCAGCGCGTCGCCACGGAATGTACCATTCCGCGTCTAGTCCGGCGAGGGTGCCGGTTCGAATCCGGCTGGGGTCATGCCTCAGCATGAGGTACTTTTTTTTTGGGGGTTTGTACAATGTATTGCAGAGTCGAAAACCTAAGACATTTACATTGCGTCTGTCTGTACACGCGGCTCGTCGCCCAACCAGCGCCCTCTCCTGCTCTGCATTGTGAATTTTTTCCCTCTCTTAGAGGGAAAAACTCATTTAATTCTCAGAGTTTCGTCGGCCGTAAGAATTGAATATTCGACGTTTTGAAAGCCGGGAGGACGTTGTCAACGAAGTCAACGCATACGATTGTTGATTTTTACAAAGATGAACAAGGTAGGTGGTGCGTAGGGAGACGGGAGGAGCCGACGAAACGCGTTGTTCACCAGGACATCCGGACTGAGTATTACAGTAAGAGTAAGATGTGGAGGAGTCGTTCATGGCAACTTACTGTAACTTCGACCTTGGAATTGAGGCCATTTGCTCGACATCGGCCCGCTGTTTGCCCTGGGTTGTCGACTCTGGTCGTCGTGTATCTCGTCCGTATCGCTCGACCTCGTCCCGCGCTCCACGACCGCTTCCACGCCGCTCGCGCCCGATCTTCGTTCCATCTGCGTCCACGTCGCTCTTCCAGGTCGCAGTTGCTCGCGCCATCTCGTCCACGTCGCTCATCCAGCACCTCTTCGTCCACCCTAACTCGCCACCATGAACCGACGCCAACGACTGGCCGCGTTCTTCGCCGCGCGCCGCGCGCTCGGACCCCACGCTGCGTTTGGGTCGCTGGCGCATCTGTAAGTCGATCAGGCGTTCTGGGATGCTGAATGACTTACATTTTGAGGCAGCGCCAATCCTTATGATGACGCCGGCGGTCAGGTGTACTTCTTGCGACGCGACAATCGCGCTATCCGGCGCGCTTACAAGAAAAATCTGGTGTCGCGAGCAGCGTATTTAGCAGCCAGTGAAGTGAAGGGGGGACATACCAACAATCTCGCCCGGCGCCGCTACGGGTATCGCAGATGTGAGACGGGGTGGAAATTGCGGTGGCGGTGTGCTATCGCGACACCGACTCGTAAGTTAGTCGGTATGTGTTTCTTGATTAGCTAGCGCAGCTCGTTCGACCCGAATTCCAGAAGCATTGCTCCACGAGGAGCTCAAGGAGCACCGAGCTCCCAACGTCCGTTGTTCGTGCGTGGTTTGCCACCAAGAGTTTTATCCTTCGCAACGCGTCGGCGGCGTTCGGGGTCTCATGGACAGAACTAGAGATTGGATGTTTCTTTTGGGACAGGTGGCCGCAGTTCAGTCGATTCCGTAGCACTTTCCAGCTGAATGTATGTTTGCAAAATTCTGACTTCAATTCGACGATACGTATTGATGGTACATTGGGATTCGGTTAACTAGATTGTGCTGGCAGAGAAATTAGGTTATTTGGCAAACTTATCGTGGAGGGACAGCTCTTACCGCATCTTTGTAAAAACTCATCGTCCCCTAGTTTTTGTCGTCTTCCTTAGTCTCAGCCTGGATCAGAGGGCGCCCATGATTTTCCTCCTGTGCGCCGGTGGTTTCTGCTGCACATTCAAGCCGAGTTTCGACGGTCGCTGACGGTGCTCACCCTGGGCACCATCGTCTGCGATTCGGTGCTTCACATTACCCTTTCCGCGCGCTTTGCGAGGTTTAGTGGGGCCGGAAGCTTGGTTCAACGTTTTCAGAGGGAGAGGTGGGCCAATCGTTCCGCGCACAGTAAGATTGGCGAGCCAGCCCGAGTTCATGCTCAGCGTTGCACAGTTCGGCAAGAAACTTTTCGTATTCGTCTTCGCGCGAGATGTCCACTTGCAAAGGAAAGTTTTTGGGAGAACGGGGAGTGAACGGCGAGCTGTCGCGTTCGAGCTTGAGCGTGAGCGTCGGCAGATTGCCTGGAGAGGTCATGGGCGTAGACGACAAGAGCTGTGATAGCATCACATCTCAGCGCACAGCCACTTCCCGACTTGCCACCGCCCACATCGTTCCCCGGAGTCGGGCACAGCGCGCGCGCTGGACCTTACCACAGGCCCGCGCTTTGCGCTGTGGCCGACCCACCTAACGCCGATTTCTGAGGCCGCTGCAGCTTGACTCCTAGGTGGGCACATTTGTCTGTCTTTTTTTAACCTTAGCTAACCCAGATCCCTCTAGAAAAAAGAAGACTCTTTGTGCACGTTACCTTCGACCGCAGTAAACGCAGCGCTCAAACCAGAACCACCATGTCGAGCGCCCCGACTCACCGTCTGCGAAGCGGCGAGAAACCCAGGCCGCTGCCCAATAGCTATGTTGTCTTTGCTATAGTTCCAAAAGCTGCAATGAATGTCTCTGTTGATATACGAGAAAAGTCACGACGATTCGCCAACTGATGCCAAAACAGAGCCTGTTAGGGAATTGTAGTTCGCCAACTGGATTCAGATCACACCGAGTTAGCGAATTACAACTTCTTATTGTCGCTAACTTGAGTCTCCGTCCGCATCGCTCCAGCTGTGCTGGACGCTGGTGGGCTCTGTCCTATCAGCTGCGTCGGCCAAGTGGATTCACTATTCGTTGGGCAGCTTGACGATTTTTTGGGAGAATTTACGCGCTTTTTTGGTGGACCCAAAATGTCTCAATTTAGAGAGCATAGCGAAGGCGGAACGAAGTAGGAACCCTGTTTGGGAACTGTGTATATGCTCGACCATTATTCACCATTGGCTATTCTTTCCTCAAATTCTTACTCAGTGGGCTCCAACCTAAGTTATGCAAACATAGTATTATCATACAACGGGGAATACAAATTTGCGTTGCGGAGCGTACGTGGAATCAAAAGAAAAAACAACAAATGCAAGAAAAACTCAGCGACATACACCGATCTACGACAACCAGCTGGGACCGGGGCCTGTCTTGCCCTCCGCTGCGCGCTGCGACCGAATTTTTTCAAAGCGTAGCTCGCGCTTCTGGGCCTCCTTGGCGCGAGCGATCGGATCGGTGTGCCGCTTCTTCTTCGTGGCTGCGTGCTTGCGCGCTTTATCCGCTTTGCGGCAGGCCTCCCGCTCGGCCGCGGGCTTGGTCGCCCACTCGAGGTTGATAGGTTTGGAACGTTCGTTGCAGCTGGGGCCTGTGTGCTTCATCAGACGAAGTCAGCGGCTGACACTGACGCACTTACAGCGCAGGGTGCGTTTGCAGGACGGGTTCTGAGTTCTGTGCCATCGTTCGACGCAGCCCTGCCCATGATGCGCATAAGCCGCCCGTTAGAGAGAAAAAAGGCGGATACGCACCTGGTGGAAGATGGTCTCGCGGCATCCGCAAGACAAAATCACCATCGCCCCTTCCTCCAAGCACACCTGTAGAACTCAGTGGTTATGCCTTCCCTTCGCAGCTTCAAAAGGGACGCACCGTGCACTCGAGATGGCGAGCCCATTCGGGCTCCTCCCTGTCCTGCCTTGCGATTCTTCGCAAAAGGAGGATGCTCATCTTCTGGGGGTACTCGAGCCTCGGCGGCTGCTTGAAGTAGTTGGTCATGGCCTAGTCGCCAGGTGAAGCTATGTCGCCGATTGTAGAAAAAAGGACGTACGATATCCCTGTCCTTGGTCATTTTTTGACCTTCTTGGAATGGGGGTTGAACGAGGTTGAAGCGCTTCATGTACGCTACATGGTCCAGCGTTCCCGGCGACTGTTCCCGGCCGGCGCTGTCGAGTACTTGTAGATCGGGCGTATCATCTTCGCTGTCTATGTTGGACTGGTCCAGGATGAGCGCGGTTCCAGTGGGGAGGTACACTGAGCGATACCATAGCGAGATTCTGATCACCGAGCTGGCTTATAGAGGCAGATAGACCGAGATTGAGTAGAGGAGAGAAGCAATTAGAAAACGGAAGGAGTGACGTGGAAAAGGTCCGTGCGTGGGAAAGGTCCGTGCGCAGGCCAAACAAGCGCAATGCCACGTCGCCCTTTCCCCACACCACCACCACCTCCTCGTCGCTCGCGTCCGCCTCGTCGCCCTCGCCGCCCTCCCTGCTCGTTATCGTCTGCTCGGCTGTTACGCATGCTAAGCCCTTCTCGCAAGGTCAGTGTGCCTCGTTTGAATCATTTTTCCCTTGCCACCGCTGATATTCGTCTCAGATACTCGACCGCGACTGGTGTCCCTTCCGCTCGCCTCCTCCTCCCCCCTGCTCCTCCCCTTGACGTACATTCCCTCCTTTTCCCTCTCTTCTCCCCCTGCTCCCTCTCTCCTCCCCCTTTTCCCTCCCTTTTTGCCTCTTCTTCGTCAGGTCCTTCAAGACCCGATCGTTTTTTTATCTCAGGTCTTGCAAGACCCGACGTTTCGCTTCTTCAGGTCCTGGACGACCCGAATGCCATCAGGTCCTGGAAGACCCGATTGTCGTCAGGTCTTGGAAGACCCGGCTGTTCTTTATGCGTCAGGTCCTGGAAGACCCGACCGTTTATGCCGTCAGGTCCTGCAGGACCCGACCGTGTTATAGTCTCAGGTCTTGGAAGACCCGACGTTCATTGCCTCAGGTCCAGAAGACCCGAGTCGCGTCAGGTCTTGGAAGACCCGACAGTTTTTTTTTTTTTTTTGCGTCTGACGCTCTGTCTCTCTCTCTCTCTCCCTCGCCTCCTCTCATGCTCACCCCCTGGTCGTGAATGCCTTTGCTTCATCGTTTGCTCCTTTTTTTTTTTTTTTTTTTCGACTTTCTGCTGACCGCTTGTTTCCAGCTCGACTGCCGATGCATGGTGTTGCAAGACCTCGTAGTACTTTGCCATGAGGTATGTGCTTTTTCCCCAATCCGCTGCCCCTTTGCTAACTCTGGTTTTCGTCAGGCGAACTGCGCCATGATGGAAGCTTTGCGTATCGCGCCGTTGTACTTACGCCTGAGCATTTGTCTTGTATCTCTTTATATCCATGTCTTGTATGTCTGCCCACTCTGTATCCCGCGACAATGTACTGCGTTCTGTATGAACATGTCACTTTTTTTGGGACTTGTCGTTTTTTCGGACTTAGTAGATTTTTTTCAAAAAAAAATCCTTGTGAGGAAAGCTCATGCAAAGCACTTGAAG